ACACCCTTGCACCAGCCTTGCTCCTAAGAGCTCTGGAAATGACAAATATCCCAGTATGATATAACTGTATTGGCAGTATAAACCCTTGCTGTCAATATCCATAAGGTTAATATTGATTTGAAAAATCACCACATCAATGTCCTTTGTATTTATTCTCTTCTTAAATTACATGTTTTCTGTATTACTTCAGACATTATTTATAGTGGATACCTGTATCTGTAACTTTTGTCACATACGGTGGCCATTAAGTATAACTCAAGACTTCAATGTTAAGATAAAACAGTATTTAATTACAACTGTCAATAAATACTTAACAAGAACCAAGAATTAAAAGTCAACCAAAGATAACCATTTCAGTGAATACCTTGTTATTAACGTGGCTCGGCTTAATATCCAGTAAATCCTAAATCAAAACCCAAATCATCGACGCACAATAATTCACACTAATTCGACTGGATAGTTCCACTCAGTAGTCACTCCAGTCAGTAGCCTGACACCATTATTTATACACCTAGCAGAAAACATATATTCATAAGTACAGTGTGTCATGCTCAAACCCCCGTGTTGGTTGTTACTCATTTTCTTCCTTATATGACAGAAACAGATGCTGTGTTTTTGTTAAACAGTGTGCAATACATTTACCGGTGTGCACTTGAGAAAACGTAATAAAGTAAACATGCTTTTCTGGCAAGGTTTTCTTTCTTAAGATTTCTAGAGTTGACTGGGCAGAGGCCAGGCCAACAGATGTAATACACACTGTTTTTTATTTTTATTTTTTTTTTAAAAAAGCATTTATTTCAAACATGGGTATCCATTAAAAATAATATTTGAAGTAATAAAAGACGGATTAAAACTAAATTCACTAATTCCTTAGATGTATCTTCTATACTTATATTTATCTGTCAATTATATAATTTCACACTTTATACAAGGTCATTAAAATCTGACCAATTGGAAACAAAATTTATGAAAGCCATAATAATTGGAAATGCAAGCCTACTGCAAAACAGTTATTTAGTTGGATTAGGTTTCTGTGCAAAAAAAGACTGTTAATGTGATCTGCTGCTGATGCAGTTTTTATAGTACAAAAGGGGACACTTTTTTTTTTTTTATTCATTTATTTAATGTTTATTTAAATTTTTCTTCATTGATTAAAATTCTATTTTTTTTCCCTGAGCTCTGAATCCTTCAAACCTGACCGATTCCATTCAGTGCTCATCAAGGTTTTACACACATGCAGAACTGGATTTGAAGAGATCGCTTAGTTATTTGGCAATGAGTTTTTGTAACCGGTTCAGTTTGAGGTTGAGGGAGAAAAAAAAGTTTTATTTTCATTATGCAAATTGTTGAATGAAACTCAATTTTCTGGTAGCAGTTGAATAGGATCCAAATTTTAACTTAGGCCCCAACTTCTTAAGTTGCTTCATGAATGACCCAATCTAATTGATTCAACTTTTGAATTGATTCTTTTGTGGAATTTTGGTGAAGATCACCTTTTGCTCTCAGCACCTGCAGTAGGTCATCCAAAGTTTTTTTTTTTTTTTGCAAATATCATCAAAGAAATAGAACTTTGCCTAGAACTTCCAAAACATCTTTGACATTTTTTCTAAGTCACAGACTCTATTTTTTTTCCTTTTCATGGTATGACTGATTTTACACAGTATTTAAGTTACCCCCACTAATTCACTGAAAAAAAAAAAAAAAAAAAAAAACAGCATAGAATGATGAAAAATGACCCCAAACTTAATAAAAACAAAGTTTTATCATTAAAATATTTGTTATTATTAAGAGGAAAGACCAAAGTATTGTTTTATTATTTTATTAAATTTTTTAATCATTTCTAGTACATTTAAAATTTTAGTTAAAAATCTTATTTCTTGTTTTTTTCTTGTTTTTATTTGTGTCAGCATAATAATTTTTGAGTGTTTTAGCACCTTTTTTCCAGTAAAAAAGACATGATTTGGAAATTCTCGCAAAAATCAAATGTCAGATTTTAAGGAAATTTTCAGGATGAAATGAAATTTTTATTTTTTTAGATAATCTTGGTAACAAATTTTTATTTAATTATTTCTTTTTTCTTTTCTTTTTTTTACATTTTGTATATTTTACATTCATTTTAAACCCTTTAAGTATTGTGGATTAGTGGAGGTCTCTAGTTAAAATTCACAGCTTTCATGGCTTGAATGTTACAACAGATTAAAATCAAAACAATCTTAAATTAGCATAAAACTGATATCTTTTGTGAGCTGATTCAAAAGTTGCAGTTTTTAGATGCAACACATTTGTTTTCTATTTAATGCAGGTGGGACCCTTAAAATTTGTAAGTTTTAGGGGGACCCACTAAGTAATGGCAAGCAAATTCTAAAGGAAAATAGAACTTATTAGAAATTTTTCTGGAACATAGACAAATATAATAATAATAATAACATTTTATTTTGTTCATCCATTTCAAGAGCCATTCAAGAGGATTACTGAAGAAGGTTGTTTCAAGGGAGGAAGAAAGAAGGGCATATATTGAGGATAGGGAGGATAGATAACTGTTGACCTTGGGAAAGCATCTTCTTTGGAGTCTATTTTACAAAAGTGTATTTCCACCAGAAGCTTCAAACTTGGTTTTGACCTTGAATACTAACAACCTGGCCAGATTCTTGAAAGGGATTATCTTCAAGCTGACAGCTCATACCATGAAGAGGGGGGGGTTAATGCAAAAAATCAGTTCATTCATGCATATTTTTTTTTTAAAATTGGTTCACCCCAAACAAGGGGACAATGCCACCAAGACACATAGCAGGGAGTGAGGAGGTTGGGGCTAGTAGGACTGAAAGAGAATGAAAAGACTTTAGAAGAAACTTAAAACACAATCCTAAACAGGGAACAAAGAATAAACCTCTGCTCCTGTTCAAAACGCCGTGAAGAAGTGTGAACCAAACAATAGGCAAACCTATCTACTAAGCAAAAAGTGAGATATGAATGAATATATCTGAAAGGCAATAAACTGAAATAAAAAAAAAAAAAAAATAGGAAAACTTATTTTTGCAGCTGTGGAGTTGTATTAAGAAAAACCTGCATTTGTAGGATCAGAAAAAGTCTCATTGAGAAAACGAAAATCTGAAAACATTAAAAAAAAATATTGAAATATTTTGAGATTTAAATTTGAACCCATTATGTCATTTTCTCAGATACTTTTTTTTTAATACTGTTTGTATAAATGCAGGTTTTTCTTAATAAATCTCTCTGCTTTTTGCTTTTGATGAAATTCCTGAAGGAAGGAAAGGCATTGTGAAAATAAGATTTCCTATTGTCATTTGAATTTATTTATGTATACATCTGCGCTGGTTTTATATATATATATATATATATATATATATATATATCAAAATGTTTTAGTGGACTGAGCCGTTTTCAATCTGCTTGTCTGAATCATCTGCAAGAAGAGCAAGATCTAAAAGGTCAGCCAATCTAACAGTGATCTCATCTCACAATCCTCACTCTTGCTCCATATGTGGCCACCTTTGTAAATCACTAGCAGGTCTTAAGTGCCACTTAAGATTATTGCACAAAATTTCATAACTGAATCCATCAAGCTGTCAGATCCTCATATGTCGAAATCGACAGGAGAGTCCATTATATATATATATATATATATAAAAACTGCCTCCCTGATTTTAGTGCAACTAAGATGCAATCAAATTCTTTTTATTTGTAATTCAAGATAAAGCTCAGACCTTGGCTTTTGCTTTCTCCTTCAAAGTATTTCTACTTTCATAATTAGACTTATGTCTTTGACTTCTTCACTTCATCTGCTTGTTTTTTTTTTTTTCTTTTTTCCCTTTTATAGTAAAGCAACATTTGTTCCCTTCTCAATTTCTCCTCCTACTATAAATAAGGAAAGCAGACTTAGGTCAATTTTTCTGTGCTAAAAGGAATATATACTTGAAAACATGGTGGATAAAATAAGTAAAGGTTTATTGTAAAACCCAGTACAATAAGAATAAAGGTAACAGTTATGCACAAGGTCGCCGCGAGTCAATCCAGTAGTGAGTGCTACTATTGGAAGGTTGGTAGTTCTTGTGTAAGTTTGATTTGACTTCAACAGATCCCAGCTAGTCTCTGTAATCCATTGACTTACAGATACTTATAGGTAGTTACTACCTATAGTGTAGTCACTCATGAGGGTGACAGGTTATTCCATTACATCAATATATATATATATATACACACACACACACACACATATATAGTTAGAAAAAAAAAACATCCTTGATGATGGCTAAATGAATAGCTGAAAACATTTGGCCATACAAAACATTTAGACAATGTTTATACAGCTGATGTCCAGAAAGGAAAAAACTTTACACACACAAGGAAAATTAAATGAAAAGCTTAAATGCAGAAATGAAACTTGTATAAAACATGTATTGCTTCCCAAATACACACACACACACACACATTCTGCACCCCTTTTTTCCATAGTGGATTAAAAATTACAGTCTTTGGCAACCTTGACTAAAATGCAGAGAACAGATCAGTTTCTTATGTCATAAATTTTTAAATTTCTATGATGAAATAATTTTTTTTATAAATAAACAAAAACACACACACACACACACAAAATGATAGGTGTTTTTTATCCTATTTTTCTTTTTAACAGATGCAAATTGCAAAGTTTGGGAGATTTTCGTATCATAATGTTCATACCTTGTGACAACCATATTTAATATGTATTAGGAAAAAGGATAGAGACGTTACACTTAAAAGAGGAAGCTTAATTGTTTGATTGAAACCAGTCAAGGTGTCTTAAAAACAAAATCTAAACACAAATTGGTTGGACAGCAAACACTGTACTTTCTAACATTGGACACATTTCAAATATTGATCTTTCAATGTCAGAAAGAGGCTTTTGGAAGCTTTTCTTTAATCAATACTTTTTTGCTTCTTTCCAGTCTCAAAGCTTTTTAATGTATTTGTAAATACAGTCAATACTACTAAGATACAAATCAATGTTTGTGTTTTTTTTTTTTTTTCATTTGTCTATCTTTTCCCTCTCTCCCCCCCACTCTGTTTTTCTTTCTCTGGCTAACTATAAAAAGAAAAGTGTCAATATCGAGGCTCCAATGTGCTCAGCATTACAAACATTACAAGCTGATTAAAAACAAAACCCAAACAAGGTCAATACATGTACTAAATCATGTTGTAGTTTTTCTTAGATTTTTTTTTCTTTTTGAGTTCTTGCAGCTGTGAAAACTAATTATAAATTTACCCCCCTTTTTTTTCAAACCTGTCAATAATTTATGGGATCATCATTAAATTAACAATATTCAGAGAAACATCCATAAGAAATGCACCTTGGAAAACTACCATCAGCAGGTTCGGACCATTTGCATTAGAGAAATTGAACAAAAATTGTATTTTGTTTCTTCACATTGGAGTTTTCCCTTCACACAAACATCTTGTCCCCATTTTCCTTCTCCCTGTCCCCATTTACCTTTCCCTCTCTCCCCCACTATCTTGCCTCTCTCTCTCTCTCCCCCCACTATCTTGCCTCTCTCTCTCTCTCCTCCCACTATCTTGCCTCTCTCTCTCTCCTCCCACTATCCTCTCTCTCTCTCCTCCCACTATCTTGCCTCTCTCTCTCTCTCTCTTGCCTATCCTCTCTCTCTCTCCTCCCCCACTATCTTGCCTCTCTCTCCTCCCACTATCTTGCCTCTCTCTCCCACTATCTTGCCCTCTCTCTCTCTCCCCCTGTCTTGCCTCTCTCTCTCTCTCCCCCGCTGTCTTGCCTCTCTCTCTCTCCCCCCCGCTGTCTTGCCTCTCTCTCTCTCTCCCCCGCTGTCTTGCCTCTCTCTCTCTCTCTCCCCCCATGTCTTGCCTCTCTCTCTCTCTCCCCCCGCTGTCTTGCCTCTCTCTCTCTCTCCTCCCGCTGTCTTGCCTCTCTCTCTCTCTCTCTCCCCCCGCTGTCTTGCCTCTCTCTCTCTCTCTCCCCCTGTCTTGCCTCTCTCTCTCTCTCTCTCTCCCCTGTCTTGTCTTCTCTCTCTCTCTCCCCCTGTCTTGCCTCTCTCTCTCTCTCTCCCCCCGCTGTCTTCTCTCTCTCTCTCTCCATCTCCTCTTCCCTCTCCCCTCTCCCCTCTCCCCTCTCTCTCTTCCATGTAAAGATGTCAAGGACATTTTTGTGGATAGTATCAGTTTACAGTGAAGAAAATGACCAACATTAGTAACAACTAAAATCTCAGTGCAGTTAAAAAATTTTTTAAAAAAAGAAAGAAAAAATATGGTGTGGGTGGGGATGTCGGTAATCAAAACCTTTTGTCAGCTTGAACTTTTCAAGAAGTCTCATGTCTTTATTTTTTTTTGTTGTTGTTTTTTGTTTTTCTGAGAACCCTCTATCACACTTTTAAAATCTTTTATTTTTGGCCCAATTCCATTTTCTTCATTATCCTCTCTACCCAAGTTTCCTTTTTCAACCATTACCCGAGACTGAAGCATTTCCTTATCTTCCTCAAAGTTGCTCGAGTGTCACTTGATATTTCACCAGTCACTGCCACCCAACCGAAGAAGAAATTTCCAATGCATCTTTCAATGGAGAATTCAAATCAGTCATTTGTTACTTTCTATAAAAGACAACATTACATAAATGAATATTCTGCTGTCAATGGCAGCTTCTCGTTCTGTTATAAAATAACTCTTCTAGTTTACATAATTTGTATCTCAGTTTTGTTTTTTTATGCAAAACTTGGACTTGTTTTAATATCTGTGTCTCTGAAGAGGCAATCTACAGTGTCTATCAGCCTCTAGCTGAAGTACTTTAATTAAAAGTCCCATGACCCCAAATAAAGAGTAAAAATCTACTTGAAAAGCTTGTTAAGATTCTACAACTATTAAAACTTTTTTTTTTATAAAGGACTTAATGCACCACAGTTATATTCAGAAAGCATCAAAGTTAAGATTCTGACTGAACTTCAGACTCAAAGGTGTTATTATTTACATTATGATCATAATTATACCTCTGTAAATAATCTAAGCTTTTATTTATTTATATCCACTATCTTCCTTTTGTCTCTCTCTCTCTCTATTCTCTTCCCACTCACTCTCACTTGACTCTCTTCCTCCTCTCACTCTCTATTCATATATATATATATATATATATATATAGGCTGGTGAAAAAAAAATTTGAGAAATAAAAAATCTAACTAAAATAATAATATTGATAGTGAGACTAATAATATTCATTCTATATTAGTAGGACTGTTTTGACTTCAGCAACAGTCTCTCAGGCCTGAAGATTATGTTCAAGCATTAAACAGCGAGAGAACAATAACAAAACAGGAATTAAGAAGAAAAAAGATAATGATTGACATTGCATTTAAATTTTTGAAGAATTGCAATAGAAGAAACAGTCACCATAGAACTTATGTTTACATCTAACCATTTCGGCTGTAAAATGATGAGACCTAGCTGCCACTCTAGTACTGCATTTAAATTTATGAAGTCGAGATACCAAAG